ATAAACCCTGTATATTATAATTTAATTTCATTCGATTTTTCATTTAAAAATTTGATGCCATTATACGCCCGTATAAATTAATCCGCGAATAAGAATGAAATGTCCCAAATTCCTCCTTAGATATTTTCAAAATGTTACTCTCCCTTCAATCGTTCTAACTGAAACTCGTTTCAACACTTTCGCTTGAAGGAAACGCGAAACGTAAACTTCCCTTGCCAGTGCCAACAACCCGTCCACTCTCACCGAAACGTCCAATCATCTCTCAGTCACAAAGTTGCTAAATACTCACCGATGCTTGGTCGAGGCAGACAGCGGTGCGCGTCGTGGCGAGAAATAGCAGGAGGAGCAGGAGGGCCGCGTTCGCCCCCAACAGCCGAGCGATCATACCCGCTGAATCGAGGAGGCCTGCCAGTGGGGGCAGCGAGCGCAGACAGTTCGACGACGTCGAGGACGTGCTCGACGACGAAGCGGGCCGGTGCTCCTGTCGCGGATGCATCGCTTCATGATCGCAACGTGCCCCTTTCTCCGTCCCTCCGTCGACGCTTTCGTCCTCTCGTTCCCTCTCTGTTTCACGCACTCCCTATCCTCCCTCCCTCCTTCTCCACCGCCCTCCTTTTCCTCCTCGCGCCTTCACCACCTCTTCTTTCCTCTTTTTTCCTCCTCCTGGAAGGTGGATTCTACGTGCGTGAACTCGCGAGTCCGCGCGCGGCTCTATAAATACGTCCGCGACTCCACGCGAAGAATCTCAAACGAGCTCGCCATAAAACACCATGAGTAGAAGAACACGAGGAGGGGTTAAAGTCTTCTTCTGTCTCTCTCTCTTTCTCTCTCTCTCTCTCGTAGATGCTATTGGATCGATCCCATCGATCAAAAGCGACCACTCAAAGCTTCCGAGACTTCTGCTCTCGTTTCTGTTCCCGATCCTGAAACCATCGATCAAGGAAAAGAAGCGTGTTATTAGCGTTTTTCCGGATGCTTGAGGCCGCCATCTAACTCGCTTTTGCTTTGTTAATTTCGCGTAATACCCTGTAACGAGTTGATGGAAGGCTCGAAGCTTCTGGCTAACGTTTCTTACGTTTCTCTTACAGGAGGAAAATTAGTATGGATTTTGCGATGGAATTTGATATTTTGTTAAAAGAAGAAGTTGTTCGAATCGTTGAGATACCGTGGAACTTAAGGGCTACAATTAAAATGGAGAAAAATGTTCAGTCGCGCAATCAGTTTCCAGTTCCCTGTTAATTGTACCAATGAACTATTGGCTCGTAGTAAATTATTATTTACTCAATAAAAACGTATACTTACTATATATATATATATATGATTCTTTCCATAATCATTTTAAAAATTAGATATCGTGCAATATCGAAAACAAAAGTCTCAATTCAGTCGTTCATTCTAAATGATCTATTTATGCCTTTAAGAGGATACGAATGGAAATTAATAATCAGCAAATAAGTTGATTCGTGAGCTTTAACGGTAGAAAGAACTTGACGAGTCATTGAATCGATGGTCTCGACCGGAAATAGCCGAGTGTGTAGGATTACAGTAGGAGGATCTCGCGAGAAAGAGCGTACGTGTGGGATACAGGTGGCGAGGCACGTTCCTCGGGCGAAAAGACACCAGGATATTACGGGCCTCGATGCAAAATAGCGGTGTACACATTACGATTCTTTATGTAACGCGAAAGTGGATACCATTCACGGCATATGTTTCTCCTATTTCATCGAAGAATCGAAAAAGGTGTTCTGGTCACGAAACCGTTCAACGTTCGATTACTCTTATCGAATTACTCGACGCGTAACAAAAGCAAATCTGATAGAATTCCGCGATACAACACGAGGAGGAATATACACTTACCTTATCCGACATGTCCATGTTGCCAAGATCCATCGGATTCAATCGATCGAATGCTTCATCGGAACGGGATATTGATTATATCGATCTTCTGCACCGACATCGTCCATTATCTTTAAGCTTTTGGGAAAAAAAAAAGCTTTTTTTTCGAGGTAAGATTAATTAAACGATAACGAACGATAATGTCCTTAACGGTTAGAGATAAATGTCCTTGTGGACAGGAAGCGGATCACACCGCTTCGACTTCGATCAACGTCTGGAACCTCTCAGCAGGATTACAAGCGACCCAACGACTCGTTCTCCAGCTGGTAAAATTGTTCAAGTTGAAATACAGCAAACCAACGGCGTGCCAACGGCCGATATTTTTAGTTCTCCCTCCCTCCACCATCTATCTTCAAGTTTGGATTTCCTGGTCGTTTTAGACGCACTGTCGAGACGGCGTGGTTCTTTCCGATCCAACGAATAAGTTGTTGGCTATTCGTTGTGTATACTTAAAGTTTTTAAATATTTTTAATCGCACTCTGTAATTCTTTCAAATTCTTCTTAATCAGTTAGCTAATTCTTTGACTTGAAAACTCGAAAGAATTGACATACTCTTCCATCCACTTCTTCAAAAATCGATTCCTTTTTTTTTTCAAAATCACTCTTATCACACACACGAATGCTTTTGCTAATTGATTCTCTTTGTGAAACTCTTTCGTCGATATATTATTAACGAACATGAAATGAAAACTCGATCGTGAACGAGCGAAAAGACACTAGCATGCTGGAGCTTCTCGAGCACACGCACGTGGCTCCAAGCCGACTGACGAGATACACGCGCGAGGAAGTATCAACAGAGGTTGAGAGGAGTGGCTACCAAGCGAAGCGGAAGTGGAGGGTGATTCTGCGGGAGCAGACGGTGGTGGGGTAGATCTCTGATAGGGGATATTCTTGGTGAATCCTTCGTGGACGAAGAAGACCACGCTCGGGGGACACGATATGGATACACGAGTCGCCGAAGATGGACATTGGAAAAGGGTTACGTTTGTCTCTAATAAGGACAACGTTCGTCGTCATCATCCATAAACGATGATGATGACTTTTTTTTGTTTTTTTCAACGTCGAATAAATGTCGTTACCAATTTAGGTTAATGTTTTAGAATTACTTGAGAGGAAAGATCGAAAGGTTACGATTGTAGAATGTATTTAAATGTTTCTTTATAGAACTGTAGACATAATCGAAGGATATAGGTCGATCGTTACGTATCTCTTATGAAATGACGATAATACGAGACGAATATGGAAGCATAATGATATTGCGGTTAAAAATAACTAGAATGATTCATTGACGATTGTAATTTTTAGATAAAAAAATATAGAAAAAATATAGGAATGTATGTGTATCACTCGATTGATAATATTCTTTCATATCATTGAACGATTAATAAACTAATGAACGTTTCTTCTCGTCAGGTAATGGGAGGATGTTGTTTGGAAATATCAATTTTGCGAAATATCAATCAAGAAGATGACTTTTAACGCAACCACGTAATTCGAAGATCCATTCTTTCAACAGCGGGATGAGAAAGATAGGCCAGGGTCGTTTGGAAGATTCGGTTTAATGACACACATCGCACCGGTTTCCTAGCAGAGTATCTTTGCGGTTTGGCCACGCCCAAACCTTTGCGAAGATTACACGAAATTACCTGATTTTTAGGTAAAAAAGCCAATCTCGAGGAGAGAGTCTTGTCGGCTGATTTTATAGCAGAAATAAAGATCGTTTTTCTTCTTTGGACTGGCCTTGATAAAGAACACGAGCATTTTCTTATTTTATTTTTTTCGGAAACATCAACACCCGTGATGAAACATCGACCTATAAGGATTGATGGTCACAAAATTATACCATACGCGTTAACTTGAATATTTTACTGGTTCTTATCGTTTAATTGAAACAGCATCATGCTCGGTGGAAGAATCGAATGGTTTCAGAATTAATTCCCACGCGAGCAATCGCGAAGACCCGTATCCTTTTAAAGTTAAAGAGACGGTGAATGTCGCAGGAACCTAAGGGACATCGGTGTATAAATCAACGTCTCAGTTAATAAGAGCGAGAGAGAAGGAAAGAGGTAGACAACGAAGAGACACAAACCGCAGACAGGAGAGTCGAGGCTCTCTCGGAGCCTACTTATGCTAATGCCGGCAAATCAATTTATTTATATTTATTTATAGCATTCAAATGTTTTCCCAAGCTGTGTCTTGTTCTGTTGGTGGACCACCCGCAAAAGAGAATTGATTCTGTTGCGGATCACGAAGTTTCGTATACTTTTATTTTACGGATGAGATAAAAATCGATATAATTTAATTGTTCAAGATTAGTAGTATTTTTTAAAATTATGATAATGAAAAAATATATATTTATTTAACAAAAATTTAAAAAAATTCAGATATAATATTAAAAATCTAAAAATTTTTAACCTCTTGAAAATTTTTTTTCGAAGATTTAACAAATTTTCGAAAATTTAAAAATTGTCAATTAAAAGTTGAAAATTGATATAAATATTTTTCTATCTTTTCATAGTATTGTATCTATAATAGATCAGAACAATCATTTGTCAAATCAAATCAAAAGATCGTATTATTGTTCAAGTACATAATGTGCATTTCAATTAATTGATACATTAATCGTTGTTTAACGATGCATTCTTTCATGGACTTGCAATTATTAAATTAAGACTGTATTCATTGAATGTCTCACATATCGGGCGCGGTCTCGATTCGAGACTTAGTCATGTGATCCGAAAGAAGACGAATTTGTACGAAATACTCAGTAGCGTATAAAATATGATATTCTAACATTAATTTATTTTATTTTTCATTAATATAATATTTATTATATTTCATGTGTAATATATGTTAAATATTTTCATCAGTCAAAATTTTTATGCGTTCATTATAATATAATTGCGCTAAATTTTTTTTACGTATAATTTTAATTTTTAATAAAATTTATACAATCTATGAATTTAAAATTTAGTAAATTTTTTATTTTTTATTTAAAATTAAGTTATTAAACTTTTTTATTTCATATGAAATAGCAAAATTACTGTGACGCGACAATAGTGAGTTTAGTGGCGTGGTCACTCGTAGGCGTGGGTAGTTAGAGTAATTAAACGTTACGGTTTGTTGCGAGTGTGAAAGTTCTTATTAAGTGATCTCCAATTCCTGAAAGAATGGTGAAGGAAACAAATTTTTCTATTTTATTAGCAATATTATTCTTTTTTTGTTGCATTCAAGAAGGTAAATATTATTATTTAAAGTCGATCATTTAGTTTTATGATCTTAACCTCAAAATTGTCGTGAAACTTAACATTGAAAATAATTTAATTTATTACACTACAAGAATAACAACTATATAAAATATTCAAATATTGTTTATAATATCTTATTATAACCAATTAATAATATATATATATTTTTAGTATATATATATATATATAAAATAAATAAAAATATAGAAAAATATAGAAATATAGAAATATAAAAATATAGAAATATTTTATTATATGAAATAAATTTATCATTGTAAACAAACAATAATTTAATTATTTCTATATATTTTTATAGGATTATCTATCAAATGCTGGGTATGCAGGTCTGATTCAGATCCAAAATGTGCAGATCCATTTGATAATACTACTGTGCCTATAACTGATTGCAAACAAGAACCTGATTTAGAACATTTACCAGGTGTGAGACCTACTATGTGTCGTAAAATTCGTCAAAAAGGTATGTTAATAATTTTATGTAATAAGGTAAACTTTGAAATAATTTTTATAAGTTAAATTATATTTTTATTCTCAGTCAATGGTGTGTGGAGATATTTTCGTAGTTGTGCTTACATGGGGGAACCAGGAATTGGTGGCGATGAAAGATTTTGCCTTATGAGAACAGGAACATATAATATATTTATGGAATATTGTACGTGTAACAGTAAAGATGGTTGTAATACAGCCTCATATAATCATGGAAGTATATTTGTTTCTATTATAGCGTTAGCAATTTCATTAAGATATGCACTTGTTTACACTTAACGTTTTTGACCAAAGATTACATTTTAGATCTAATTAGAGGATATATATTTGAATATATTTTTTTTATGATATAAACATTCATTTGTACTTACTAATGACATTCTTTTCGATAATATGATCTTCAGGGAAATAATATATATCATTTCAAACTATTGAAATTGACATTAGAAAAAATTGAAAAATCATTTCATATAATCAAGTAGCATTTTATAAGCATTTTGTGTCTTACGAAAGAGATAATAATGAGAAAATACTCTAAGGCAATTTTTAGATATCTTTTTATCTTTTCTCAGAATATTATAGAAATATATTTTTATTAATATAATATACATTTTAATATAAAAATATACGTTTGTATTATATTTACATTTTAGATTTTTTTAGTACAAAAAAATAAATATTATATTAATCAAATATATTGAATTTATATTAACATTTAGCATATATAGCAATATAAATAAGACTGTAAATTCCGTCCATTACTAAATCATTTAGTATTAGCATAAAACAATTGTGCTTTTGTATTTTTGTATTCATTTTCTGGAAACATGGTTAATTATTAAATGTCACAAAAATAAAATCATTGCCCGCATAATGCATCATTCCTTATACATTTTGTACATGTGTATGATAAAAAGAATTAAATAAAGATACATGGAAAATATTATGTGTAAAAAAAATAAAAATCATCCTTTATATAACAGGTGTATTAAAATATATTTCTGTTATACAAAAACGTTATTATATTGTACATACAGATTTTTTGGTGTGATTGTATATTGATTCTAACAATATTTGTTGAATTATATAATTAATTTTTGTTACAAAATACATGTACAATTAATTACAATAATATAAATAGTTCTTAATAAACGTTACTTTAATATTTTTAATTATTTACGATATAATATGATCAAAGAAAATTATAATTGAAAAGATGAGCAAATACATATTGTTATTATCATTAAAAGTAACATCGAGTATTATTATAATATAAAATACTTTATTTTACACATGACGAAAAAAATACTTTCCATTGATTTAATGATCTATCTTAAAAATGTTAATGTAAAATTGAAGATCAATTTAATAGTAAATAGAACAAAAGCGCTTCGTTACATCTGCATTATATCGTAACTTACTTAACAGCTAAAAATTACTTGGTCGCGATCTGGCACAAAAATTTACTTTCTTCTTTCAGAGATAACTTCTAACTCGGACTCTCTAATAACCTGGAATTTTATTTCAGCCTAAGGATTCTAGTTTTATCTATTCAAAACTGGCAGATACTAATTTATTGGACGGTTCTATTATTTTGATTCTTGGCAGAAATTTTTGCGATTTCTCTGCCTTGGAATCGAGGACGGTATAAAAGAATCAATACATTATGTGTGCATAAATGCGTATCATACAATAAAACAGATGCATAATTCTTGTACAACTTGTCTTCCATTAGAAAATGTCACAAGGAGAAGAAATAGATAAAAATAATGAAAAACTAAGCAAAAATAAATTTCGCGAGAGAAATAGCTTATGATATATACCTTTTGTATCCACAGATGTTTGCCTAAGTATTCTTTGGAACGGCACTATCGACCATGTGCTCAAATATTCATAATATTCGCACAGGTTGAAAGTAGGTTTATGGTCGAAGGAAAACTATGAGTAAAAGTCGAGCCAAGAATGCTCGATAAGTTTATTGATCTATTTTCTCTCATTCTCACTCGAATGACTGCCATTTCGTTATTTGTTGTCCTGATTTCGCTAAAGCCTGTTTCCATTGTTCGCCGTAAGTTCCTCCTACATCTGGTCCGATCACAAAATGACCAACAGTTGTTTTCTTTCCTAAAATGATAAGATTATTCAAGATTAGTAAATAAATAATTCATAAAAATTTTTGCAATAAAATTCCACCAAGATGGTTCACCTAATTTATTCTTCGAGACGAATTTAACAACGAAGCTAACATCCTTCAATGCTCCCTGATACGGATTATCCGCAATCACTCTAGCCATTTCCGGCGAAAATTTCATCGACACACATGGGGCAAAACGATCGCTTTTCCAAAAATGAGTCACTCTACCGTCATCTACCACGGACATCTTAATATACATCTGTCCTTTCAAGGCTTCATGCTCGTGCATCGTTTGTAACGAGCATCTCAGACGATGCAGGGACAGTATCAGTTTTTCGCTACCCTCCTCTTTCTTATCGGCCTTTTCTTGGCACAGTGACAACTCGACTTGGCCTTTCTTATTTTCCTTCTGTAACAACAATGAAGATAACTAAAACTTATTAAAACTATAGCCGGATTACATACTAACATTTATAATATCTAATAAATAAAAATTTTATGATATTTTAAAATTTCTGATGATTTACTCTTTCTTCAGCTCCAGAAATACCACTAGCAATCGGTCGCAATGGTCTCCACATATCTCCTGTCGACACGTCGCTTGGATGCTTAGCTTTTGGTGGCTTCGAAGTGAAGTTCTTCGGATCCAAGGAAATCGTTGTGGCGCCTACAGTTCGTCTCTTATCAAACAATTTTCTTTCTGGAGTTGCGGTTTCCACGGATTTATCGGTTCCCTTGCCGAAAAATTGACTGAATAATTTGTTCTTCGTTGGCTCCTGATTCTCCGTGGAAGCACCTTGACCATCTTTTTTCTTGTTGCTCTTCTTAGGGGATTCTTTAGTGGGCGACGTTTTTTCTTTCTCGGATTCCTTCTTCTCAGTCGCTATTAATGGTTTATCCTCGAGAATCGCGTATAAAGTCGCGACGATAAATCTGGAACCGCTTATCTCCTCTTCGATCACTTTCGTTTTACCAAATTTCTGTTTTGTTTCTTTTCGCAAGTGAAACGTAAATTCCTCGTTCCATTGCGGCCACGACTCGTTTTTCGACGTTGTCTCGAACTTTTCCTTTCCTGGTATTAACTTCACCTGGAATAGAAACGATTTACTTTCCTTCCTGCACGAGTTTTTCTGTTAGATATAAAGAATAATGAAGCGAGCAGTAATTAATCCAATAATAAAAAATGATATAATTCGTGAAAATTATTCGTACAAAATTTATCAATATAATATTGATTTGCAAATAATTTACGAATCACGCACAATCTATTTATTTTGAAATTCCTTTCGAATCAATCAACAAATTCAAACGTAAGAAACACCAAGTATATAAGTGTATGAAAATAATCTCAACTTCCATTTGACCATTGTAATTAATATATTTTAAATGCATCGTAAAGAGATAAGGAAACTCAGATTCCCATAAAGTGGTATTGTCTTGTAAGGTTCGTGAGTCAATAAAGACGAAGTGGGCGCGATGATTCCTTCGAGTTACGTAACGTTAGATAACAATTCAGAGAGATTATTAGTATCTAACCCATGACTACCTTGACTACGTAGCTGTTGACACGAGTAAAGCCGAAATTCTGCGGCAAGTGACGAGCACCAAGTACCGTCACGTGCAGAGCTTTCTCGTTGATCGAATGAACGATTTTAATGCCTACTTCCGGCTCCAGATTCACCGTGCGATCCAACGGAGTGGACACAGTCTTAAAACCAGTATCTATGAAACTCTTGATCCTCGCTAACGCCATGATTGTTTTTAATTCGTGGATATTCCCGATCAATTCTTATCTATTTATCGATCTTGAGCAGTGATAAATTCATCGACAGTGATTCTCGACTGGTATTCGCTGTAAACATAAAAAACGTCTCGTCTAAATTTTGTATAACCTCGTATACTATTTCTAGGAGTACTATTAATACATGCAAGCTATAGTTACTCAGTTTGCCTATTAAAAGATATATTTTCAGATTAAATAGTATATCTGATCCGCATGAAAATCCCGTCCAAAATATTTCCTGTTCGTTATCCACCGTGTTTAAACGATAAATATAGCCAGCACAGATTTTTCCACTCGTCTCGCGACTGACACGAAATTCGCGTTAATAATCGAACTCGCGCCGGTGTTTACCGCGCTTCAGTGCAACGTTCTTTCGCGGCTATAGAGTGATAAGAACAACGGAAACGGTCGAGCTATGATCAACGTCAATGAGTAACGGTAAATTTCAAAGAGACTCTGCGATCGAGACTGCCTCTCGAACACAACGTTCATGCTCTGTTTTCTTAACGATCTTGATTATTCTTTATGAACGAACAAATTTGATGATAACAGCAGGTGATTGTATCAGCTGTTTCCATCGACGGTGGTATAATCTTCTCGGATAAAGAAAAAATTCGCACAAATAGGTCTATCTAATGATCGAACTTTCTCCAGCCAAGGAAAATTGATCAAATTACCGGGCGTTGTCACCTGTTCGTTCCCAAGAAAAACCCGCTTGGAAACAGCGTACCTACCATAACCGCAATGATTTTGACTGGGTATGCGGCGTGGATCGAGAAAAAAAATGGTCGACTGGTCGATTTTTGATCTTTGTTGAAGCACTGAGTGGGGAATATTCACTAGTAATCGAGTCTACGGCATATATCCACTATATAAACTCTGATCACTGTTTCCATAACCACAAAGGTGAATAAACATAAACATATAGCGGGATAAAGATTGCGTGTCTTTCACTGGTTATACACGATGTCGCCATGCGGCTCGATTTCCTCGAGTTTATTGCGCATCGCGCTTTAAGATGGAACGATGTAATCGAATATCGTAGAAATTTTTCGTTGGAACGTAGATGGACATGCGTTTGTTTAGAATCGAAAGATTTTTATACGTAGAATTGTCAACTTTAAACTTCGAACGACGCGCTACCGTGGTATGCGGCCCGCGCTCTCGCGTGGGTTCGCTTTATAAGGGGGCAAACGGGCTGTGCAGGGACGGGTATAGTGAAGGCGTTGTTTAAGGGGTACCGATAATGCGATGAGAGATTTGATTTCATAAAATATCGATTTTGATGGAAAATTGATTTAAATTATGAATGAAAGAGAAATTTTAAATTGATAATATAATATATTAAATATAAAAATTGGTAGAACGGATTTATAATTTTCATTATTGAATAGGGTATATCATTATTTACAATGTAATTTACAATATAACATATTATTATTAATTCCCTTACTTTTTAAAATTATATATTGTGTTTAACATTATAATTCAAATTAGATTAATTTTTATTATAAATTTTATTATAATAATATTTATAATATTATATTTATTATACAATGTTTAACATAATTGATATAGTAGAAAAAAATGAATTTATTAATTGGTTACAAGTATTTGTCATAAAGTATTTTTACATCAAAACAAAGTTTAATACTCATTTATGTTTCAGATTTGGAATTATTTTTGATTAATTTTATAAATATTATTTACAAGCATTAATTGTTTTAGAAAAATTTGGAACAGGATAAGGTTTGTAAAAGTAAAAGTACGTCACTGTCGCAAAACTGGCCAGTCGTTCTGAAGACACACACCACTTGTACACTTCATCGTACAATCTTTATAGACTCTAGTTGGTTCCTGACGCCTGTTGCGCACACAAGGTCGCGCATTCATGTGCATGTAAATGTGTATGACTATGTTTCTGCACGTATACGAGATGTATGCGTAGTAAATACGATATAGTGAATGAGAATGTATAAATACAGTGACGTATTAATATCAATCGTCGCCCAACATTTTCTAATATTTACAAATATAATTTTAAGCATAATTAATATTAAGTCAAAATGAAAGAAAATTTAAAAAGAATTAGGAAAAATGATTTTTTATTTATTTTTTATTATTATTTTTCTAAAACTTTAAATTATTATAATTAACAATAATTATAATAATTTAAATATTATTATAATTTATGAATATGTTTATAAATACATATATAATATGAATGTTTTATTAATTAAAAGGAAGTAATAAAAAAGAAACTTATGAATAATAAAAATGATTGAAATTAAATTGACGCGTAGTAGATCTAATTGTAATGTGTAACAATATCGCACAAACAACAGAATGGAATGCAGTATGGTGCATTGTGCTGCATAAAAAAACAAATCGCGGAAGAGGTATCTGAAGACGTATCAAATACAAACATACAATATATTTTTAAATTAATCTATTAACTTTATAATTAATTTTTTAAAAACAATATAATAATGTATCTTCTGTCACATTTGCAAAAATAGTAAATTTAAAAAATTTATATAAATTTTTTTATTTTTTTTATTTTTCATAAATATAGCTAATTAGGTATATAATTTTTCCTTTCTTTTTTTTCATTAAAATTGTTAAATTACATTGTATTATATTTATTTACAAATATCTAAGTTATTTCTTTTTTTTAAATAATCAAGTTTAATTATTGAAAATAAAACCAATTTGCATCTAATTCTAATATGCGTCAATATGTCTATCAGTACACATTTAGAATGTTATTCTTCGTATAATAAACTATATTGATTGCACGTGATAACATGCAAGGATATATTTGACAGACACATTAACCTTCATTGTTGAATAACTTGTCATGTTTAGAATATTAGGAAAGTATAACTATTCTTAAAAGAAAATGACATTTTTATTTCAATAGTATAATCAAATATTAGATATACAAATAGCTTAATTAACTAATACTTAAGAGGAATTTTAAGATCTATATTTTATAATCTTACCCGTGATAACTATATTCATTAAGAATATAAATTTTTACTTTTAAATCTATTTATTAAAATTTAAATGAATATTTACTTTTTTAAATTTTAAATACTTATTTAAAATACAAAATTTTTGTAAAGTAAATAAAAAAGAAATTAATTTTGTTCCAATTTAAAAATAATCAATGAAAAATAAAATTAATTAATAATTAATATAATATAATATCCTAGATTTCAACTTTGCCTTCGAATAGATTTTCGGTTCTAATGTTTTAAAGTCAAATGTTTCCTACATTCGTCGTTAGATGGCCGTACATACTTTCTAAACCCTTTCCAACCCTAATAACGACCCTCCCTCCTATGAACAGCTGTTCTGCACCGCCATGGCGCACGCGACTTCGTGGCATCAAAAACGCTCTCGACGTTTTCGATTTTACCGGTTTGAAATAGTGTTTACGTGTCCCGCTTTATTGTATCACGCGTCGCATTTCCGGTCGTAGAACGGTTCTCGTGTAGAATGAGTGTAAAAAAAGAGTGTTCGTGTTTTGTGTCAAAGTGAGAATTTCAGGTTTTTACATTTGCGAGATCCACCGGTTCCACTGTCACTTCTGAGAGGTAAGTGATGTATTACTACTTGTTTTTTATATTGTTTTTATTTGCATATAAATGTAAATATCATACGTATGATAAAGGATATTTATTCATATATAAAGCAATATACATGGTGACGTTGGTTTTGCATACTGGTACGTTAGAAGTGGCGCTCATAAACGTATCCTCCATCAGAAATGGATGTAATTGCAATTAAATTTCCACGAAGATTATTCTCGTTAAATTCATTAAAATAATTATGCGATTTGTTGATTTTGAAATAGATTGATAAGGTAGATGTAACGACGGAAATATAACGACGGATCTCATTTTATAATTCGAAATTTTATTGTCGATTTTAACATATGTTTATTGCTGTATCAGGTAAAATATGTTTTTAAAAACATTCATTGCGATGTGACAGTGGCAAAGATCGATTGATTTATATAATATAGAATAATTAGAATATCTTTCAAATTGTTTCGTATAAATGAAATAATTTTATTAAGACAATTGTCATGTAAAAAAGATTAATCCTAGCTGGAGTGCGTTGTACAAAATATTATCAGGAATTCTGCAATCCTGTCGACAGGTGGCAGCACATGACTATATATTTGAATTAATCCGCGGTTTTTAGAGGATGAATTTAGAATTTCGATTTAACATTTATATAGGATATTTTATATTTCCAAATTATTTTTTTATCACCGATTGTTATTAATATTATCAATTTACCAATTATTTCTTTTCTAGTTTTGCTTGATAGTTTAAAAATTTCAAAAATATTATTTTTATGATAAACTGAAGATCGCTTTTTTAAAATAATTTTCTTTTCAAACATTGTTCATAATTTATAGTGTACTTATTATAATAATTCATAATGCATATTATGAAAATTCATATGAAACATTTAAAAAGACTTAAAATGTATCTTAAATATAAAAAACATCAAATAACATCAAAAACTCAGATTTCATATTTATTGCAAAAAATATATACAAATAATAAACGTAAAAAGTATATTATACTTTGAAGCAATGTTCAGTTTCTCATTTCAACTGAGAAATAACGGAAAGAATATTAAAAAGTCAGACTGATGAGGAAAAATATCAACAAGAAGTTCGAAAAACAAGAAATGAAACGAGACTGAAATCGTGGCGCATGATAACAATTTATGCAGCGTTACGACATCTCTTTATCCGTCTTCCTTTCCATTTTATTCATGGAATGAAAGGAGACGTCGAAAAAGAAAAACTTTCCTTTATACATATAATTCATGGTCTCTTTTCTTTTCTTATGTTGTATACTGCGTTCATTTCTCATCCTTCAACCAATTTATTTATTCACATTCGTCTATTTATTTCTTCTTCTAATAATTTGAAGAATTTTAATCATAATTGCATCATTTCAGCTGTTTGTATGTTCCCTCCGTTTCGCTTTTTGTAATTTAATGAATTTAATGCCCCATTTTCCAATTTTGCAAACTACCACCAATCTTTCTATTGGTCGAATATGATTATTTTTATGAATTTTTTCTTACTATGCTCTTATGTTTGTTATTATGGATTCCTTTGTATAGAAATACAATTTAAAGATTTAACTATACGTTTTGATATGAAAATGCGCCAATTCAAGCTGAAATAGATTGCAAGTATCGAACAATTTTAGGCAGTTGTCGCGGCTTAAGCAATTATTAATTTCGTTATTTATATTGTGAAATTGTTACGTGATAAATGCAGTTAATATTTGATCGACGTGGTGTTGGGTATATGGATTTTGCCTATCTAGTTAATTCATAAATTACAAAGAGTTGAAAACATAGATTTTTGGCATATAAAAGGATCAGTTTAATATAATATATAAATAATCTATAAAAAAGAGTTTTTAAAAAGAGTTTTTGCTGTTGCTTGAAATTATGAAAGAATTATTTGAGTCTATAATGAAAATATGTTTAATAAATGTATATAATTAAGTTATATACATAGTTTCATCGAATTAACATACAAAAAAAATTAGGACACGATCGAAAGTTGTGAAAAATTACAAATTTTCGATTGTTTATAATTTATAGCAATATCATTCTATTATCTTTTTCTTTTTTTCTAAATTTCAAAAAAATTCAAATGGTTTGAAAAAATTATTTCTTTTTAAAAAAATACCTCTTTTTTTCATTGTACTTTTTCATATGTATCACAGATACATTTATGATTTTTCATAATTTTTGAATTAACTTAAAAATCGATGTATTGTGAAATTAGGAAAAACATGACATGTTGTATTACCTAATTACAGATATTAGAAAATAAAAAATCTTATTACACCATAAGGAAACATTTTTCAATAACAATAATAATAATATTCAATAATAATAATTAGATCAGTTACACAAAATTGCACGAAAGATACTTATCAATGGAATTGAATTTCTTTCACAGGTATTATCGTTCAGTACATTGCGAACGTCACTATATTTTCGTTTAATCCCTCACAACTTACTTGGAGAAACTCATACCGGCGAACAATGGTCCGGAATATCACATCCAATTGAATATTCCACGGAACAAAATTCATTCCTCGAAATTCCATTCGGATAGTCG